ACACTGATGATCTTACCTAGTCAGGTAATGTAACGTCTGTAAGCAAATAACTAAGCTCAGAGAGCAGCAAAAACACCATAATTAGTGCTTTTGCTCCAAGACCAAAGAGGTTAAGGTTTTATTTTGATTAAACATTACGTACAGCACTGACTGCTTTAAATGCTTTAAATTAAAGAGCCCTGGTAGCACAGCAGACTAAAGCACTGTTATTAACAGTGTTATTAACATTCAGCTGCCTGCAATTACTGCAAATTCAAATCTCACCAGGCTCAAGGTCGACTCAGCCTTCCATCCTTTCTAAGGTAGGTAAATTGAGGACCCAGTTTGTGGGGGCAATAAGCTGACTTTGTATAAATATACAAAAGTATGAAGGCTATTGCTTAACGCATTGTAAGCCGCCCTGAGTCTCCGGAGAAGGGCGGCATATAAATCAAATAAAAAAAAAGTGACAAATAAAATAATAAAACCACTCAAAGTGCAGAGCTGTTAAGACCACTAGGGTTTTTCTGTTTGTTTGTGTTTTTTTTTTTTTTGCAGTTTTATATGTTTCTACATGTGTTAGGAACACCCTCTTTGGAGATCTGTGAACAGACTGAGTGTTGTCTTATGTATATCACTCATACCATTTGAGCAATGATGTCACAGCACACTTAGTGTCTTTTTGATGTCACTTTGGTTTCTATTATGAAATTATAGCCCCAATTTCCTACACCTATTTAGGCTCCACTCCGATTCTGGTTGTTACAGCTTCGCGTATATGGCACACACAAAATTTATCCTTTTATTTCACATGTATAGTATAAACCACCCTCTATTCAGAAGGCTATAATCCATGAGACCCATCCCAACAAGCAGGAGAACCTGTGGCTTAGAGGTTAATACATCTGCCTAATATGCAAGCAAGCCCAGGTTTGAATCCCAGAAGGGTATGGCTAGCTGATGAGAGCTAAATATCTTGAAATAGATTGAAGGGAAACAATAATAAGGATATAATAAATAATACTAGATTCTGTAGCCATTAGGTTCCTGTACTACATATATGCCTTTATATTTGTATCTCCTGTAACAAACATATTCTGTTATTAGGCCTGTAATGTATCTGGTATTTGTCAAACATATGTCCCTGCCATTTGACCTGAACCCATATCAATCTTCTCCCTGTTTTTTCTTACTAAGAGCATGGTACATATCTCCAAGGGATAATTTACACCTCAATCCTAATTTATGTTTGATCTGGATAGACTCCTACTTTCCAGGGCCAGGGGGCCAAAGTGGCCAATTGAGTAAACAAAGAAATGCTCAAGGATGACTAATTGGGAAGTTTCTATTCCCCCTTGCAGGGCAACAAGGAATACACAAACCTAAAATAGGAGACCAGAATTGGGTACTAAGCTGGCGTCTCTGAGGGTATAAAAGGACGCCCTACCTTCCCCAAGGCGTGGCTATCTCCTCGCATGCATTTTATCTGTATGTTCTGGATATAGTTCCACCCAGTATTTTGTTTTTGGCCATAAATAAAATCTGTTTTTTTTTTTTTTTTTTTGCAAGCCTCGTCTTGAGTCTCTTTCTTTGGCATTCTGGTGACTCAAGTGTATTTTGGGACCTTACAAGATCTATACTAGTCTCCCTTTATTTCTTTATCAGTAAATATGAATTTAACACAAAATAGTTTGTTGTGAAAGTGATTGCCTGAGGGCTCCTGGATTGGGGCTGAAAGGCGAAAGGAAGCAATATGCTCCTTCCCATATTTGGATAGACCAGGTTGCTTCAACAGAAAACCTATATGTATGTGTATATATGTATTTATTTTGTTCTTTTTTCGTAGGTCTATATGTGCATTATTGTTCTAGCCAGGGTTTTTCCTACATAAATCAAGATGTTTATATAGCCATAGTTAAGTGACATCCCAAATCACTATTTTCTAGGCTTTATCAGACATTTAAACAACATTATGCTGTCTGTTGTAAGACTTAAGAGAGACTTACAACAGACAGCATAATGTTGTTTAAATGTCTGATAAAGCCTAGAAAATAGTGATTTGGGATGTCACTTAACTATGGCTATATAAACATCTTGATTTACGTAGGAAAAACCCTGGCTAGAACAATAATGCACGTATATATGTATATATGTATATATGTATATATGTATATATGTATATATGCATATATGCATATATGTATATATTTATATATTTATATATTTATATATTTATATATTTATATATTTATATATGTATATATGTATATATGTATATATGCATATATGTATATATGCATATATGTATATATGTATATGCAAGTCTTGGCATATTCGGGTCTTTTCCCATGTAAAATTAAGAGTATCTTGGGAAATTTCGACGAGGTCCCAAGATACTCTCAATCTTACACAGGAAAAGACCCGAATACGCCAAGACTTGCATACCTGTACACGTGAAAATCTATGAAAACAAATATATGTATATATGTATATAAAAAGTTAGAATCTCGGGTGTTTTCCCGCGTCATTAAAAGTCTGTTAGTTGAAATGCTTAAAATTCTGGCTAAAATCCCAGCCTAAAATCCTCCAAAATCCCAACAAAACACTTTGTAAGGTCTTTGGAAACTCTGGCTAAAAATCCTAACCAACACTTTAAAAGTTTTCTTTTTTTGGTAATGTTTCGACAAGCTCTCTAACTTGTCATCATTGGGCCCCTACTTTCAGTTTAGAAGCTGTGGGTATGCTGCGAGGTCGGAGTTGTCGCTTTTCGCTGCTGCTGACGTATGCTGGTTAGCCTGCAACTCTGTGTCCTGATTGGAGGGCAGCAGTTTTTTCTCCTGCTTCATTTTCCTAGCTGCACCCTGACTGCGTGTTAAAGGCCCAGCTTTCTCTGGTTCCCTATTACTAACTGTCAACTGCAAAGAGGGAAGGATTCTGGTATATAGATATATATGTATATGTGTATATATGTGTATGTATATATATATATATATGTATTTTGGGGGGGGAATATCTTATTTTGCAGCTGCTTGCCCACTCCCTCCAACAATATGCTTGCTTGCGGCTGCAACGCCTTACAGGCTTCCCAGACACCCCTTTCGCCTGGATAGAGAAATGACAGAGACACAAAGCATTGTCTGCTTGCAAATGGGACGCTTTGAAAGAGAGGTAATCATTCCATTTCAAAGCGTCCCATTTGCAAGCACACGAAGCTTCGACTCCCTCTGGATGAAAAGTGGGGTGGGGGTGGGGAAGGCAGGTGATTCCAGCGTACTGCCCAGTCCGTCCCACCGTCTCTCGGCTTGCTTATGGCCCACTCATGCCTCTGCCTCCGCCTGCTGTCGGTGAAGCCTCGCAAGCCTCCCGCGAGCCTCCTGTGAAAATCAGACTAGGGCTTATTTTCAGGGCGGGTCTTATTTTCGGGGAAACATGGTAGTCCTGTGATAAATACTTTGAAACCTCCTCTCAGAGGGGAGCAACAGAAACAGACCGTGAAGTGGGTGTGTGGGGTCTCTAACAATGCTTTGAGCTCTAAGCACATAGCACTTATAAGCAGTATCTTGAACGAGAGGGAGAGAGCTTCCTATAATCTTCTTGGCTGTCCTTGGAATGGAATGCAGTGGAGTGGAGTGGAGTGAAGTGGAAAGGAAAGGAAAGGAAAGGAAAGGAAGGAAAGGAAAGGAAAGGGAAAGAAAAGAAAAGAAAAGAAAAAGAAAAAGAAAAAGAAAGAAAGGAATGGAATGGAATGGAATGGAATGGAATGGAATGGAAAGGAAAGGAAAGGAAAGGAAAGGAAAGGAGTGGAATGGAATGGAGTGGAGTGGAGTGGAATGGAGAGGAGAGGAGAGGAGAGGAGAGAGGAGAGGAATGGAATGGAATGGAATAAAAAGGAAAGGAAAGGAAAGGAAAGGAAAAGACAAGAAAAGAGGAAAGGAAAGGAAAGGAAAGAAGAAAGGAAAGGAAAGGAAAGGAAAGGAAAGAAGAAAGGAAAGGAAAGGAATGGAATGGAATGGAATGGAATGGAATGGAATGGAAAGGAGTGGAGTGGACAGGAGAGGAGAGGAGAGGAGAGGAGAGGAGAGGAAAGGAAAGGAAAGGAAAGGAAAGGAAAGGAAAGGAAAGGAAAGGAAAGGAAAGGAAAGGAAAGGAATGGAAAAAGAGCCTGGTGGCGCAGTAGACTAATAGCCTGTTATTATCATCCAGCTGCCTGCAATTACTGCTAGTTCGAATCTCCCCAGGCTCAAGGTTGACTCAGCCTTCCATCCTTTCTAAGGTAGGTAAAATGAGATACCAGTTTGTGGTGGCAATAAGCTGACTTTGTATAAATATACAAAAGTATGAAGGCTATTGCTTAACGCATTGTAAGCCGCCCTGAGTCTCCGGAGAAGGGCGGCATATAAATCAAAATTTTTTAAAAAATGGAATGGAGTGGAAAGGAAAGGAAAAGAAAAGAAAAGAAAAGAAAAGAAAAGAAAAGAAAAGAAAAGAAAAGAAAAGAAAGGAAAGGAAAGGAAAGGAAAGGAAAGGAAAGGAAAGGAAAGGAAAGGAAAGGAAAGGAAAGGAAAGGAAAGGAGTGGAGTGGAGTGGAGTGGAATTTTCTTATTGGGCAAAGTGTGATTGGACACACAAGGAATTTGTCTTTGGTGTATGTATATGACAGGAAGGCCTGGAGGAAAGTTGTCCACGGAGTCCCCGATGGGTCGGACAACAACTCCTTGTCTTGCCTTCTGGTGCATTGGTGAATATCAATCAATCAGAATAGAGCTGGAAGGGGCCTTGGAGGCCATCTAGTCCAACCCCCCCCCCCCCGCTCATAGCAGGAGACCCTCCCTCCACTGTGTCTTGCAGGCGGGTGGCTGCCCAGCCTCTTCTTGAAAAAAAGCTTCCAGCGATGAAGCTCCCGTAAAACCACTCCTGAAGGCAAAGCTTCCCGGCGCTCTCCGCTCTGCGCCCCAAGAGTTAAAGCGATAGAGAGCCGCGTCTGGCGTCTGGGAGGCGCCCTGAACGCTTTCGGAAAGGGAGGCTGCAAACGCCGAGGCGCCTTCCTGCTTCTCCGCCCGCCCGCCCGCCTGCCGAGCAAGTCAGACTTACCCGGACTTGGGGCGTCGCCAGGTCGGGAAGCATTTGGCCGCCAAGGCTCCCCGGGGACAGGCCAGGTATAGAGCGCGCACGATCGGGTCCTTTTTTTGTGGGGGGTGGCTTCACGCGGGCTTCCGGTGACCGGTCGATCGCGGGATCGATCGATCGATCGATCGTGCGATCGAAAGCGCGCGCCCGATCTTTGCTCTGGGAGAAGCGACAGGGAGGGAGGGAGGCACCTGACAGCCGCCGCCGCTGCTCTCGGGGACCGATCCAAGCCTAGTTGAAGTCCCCGGAGCTATGGCCAGCCTGACCCGGCCTCAATTCATTCCCGGCTATTGTTTCCCTTCCGCCATAAAAATAAAAATGGGGGTTGGGTGGTGGCTGGGCGAGCCCATGGTGCGCAGCGCGGGGCCGGATCTCCTATCCGATCCGGAATCAGACCCAACGCCGACGGGGGTTGTTGCCTTTGCCTGCCCGCTTCGCTTATAGTAGCTTAAACCCTTCTGGGGGTTGGGATCCACTCCCAAGCTAGCCTGGGCTAGAAACACTGAGGATCCGCCGCCGCCGCCTAAGCACGGTTGAAAGGAAGCCAGCTGATCACCAGGGGCGAGTCTGATGGCCTGGTGGTCGTGTGAAAGGATGTGGGCGGCAGAGAGAGAAAAAAGACGCCAGGCTTTTTAAGCAGTGGAATGAATGAGCTGGAAGGGACCTTGGAGGTCATCTAGTCCAGCCCCCTGCTCAGTCATACCCGTGATGGCGAACCTATGGTACATGTGCCATAGGTGGCACGCATAGCCATATCTGTGGGCACGTGAGTGTTGCCCTACCTCACCTCCAGCGCGTGGGGCCCACTAGAAGTCAGGAAATGGGCCATTTCTGGCCTCCGTAGGGCCTCCGGGGGTGGGGGGGGTGGGGAAGGCCGTTTTCGCCCTCCCCAGGCTCCTAGAAAGCTTCTGGTGCCTGGGGAGGGCAAAAAATGGGCCTACCAGGCCCACCGGACCATCACGTGCCAAAAGCAGGGAGAATGTCACACATGTATCCGTGGGGGGGGCAGTGGGCATTGAATTATGGGTGTGGGCATGCACATGTGCGCGCCCCTGCGCTCCCCCCACTTTTGGCAAAAAGGTTAGCCATCACTGACCTATACTATTTCAGATAAGTGTCTGTCTCTAGATTCCCCAGGGGAAAAAAAATCTTGAGGATTTAAAAAAAAATAACCCCGAGACCTTTTTTCCCCCCACCCCTTGCGTTTCAGTCATGTGACAACAATCCTCAAGCCACCATTTGAGGTTTCTTCTCCATCTGCCACCCTGGATAGAACCGAGTCTGATCAACCGCTGAACCCAATGATGAAAATGGACGCCCCAGAATCTTCAGCAGACCTGAAGCCAGCGTTAGACCTGGATGGGCCAAGAGTAAGCCCCAGTGTGGCCCCGAGGGGCTCCGACCGGCAGGATCTGAGGTGGAGGGGTCTTCCATACATTAAGCAAGAACCGGAAGACGATTGTCTATCGTCTCTGCACTGGGAATCCCAGTGGCAGGAGTTCCTGGGGGGCATGCAGTCCCCTTGCTCAGGATGGGGGGCCAGACCTCTGCCAGCGACTGCCCCGTGGGGGGGACACCAAGGCACCCTTGGCTCATCTAGCATTGGCGGCCGCCAGCAGCCAGCGTTCCTCGGAAGGGATGTTTTTCCAACCTGTGCCGCCAGGTTTTGTGGGAACGATGCACCTGGCTGACCAAGAAAGGCGGAAAGCGAAGGAGGAGATGGAGAACCAGGAGGCCCTAAATCCGGAGCCCCCTTGCCAGCGCTTCAGGCAGTTCCTCTACCAAGAAGCGGAGGGTCCCCGAGAGCTTTGCCATCGTCTCCGGGACCTCTGCCACCTATGGCTGAAGCCGGAGAGACACTCCAAGGAGCAGATCCTGGAACTGGTGATCTTGGATCAGTTCCTGGGTGTCCTGCCCCAGGCGATGGAGTGTTGGGTCCGGGATTGCCACCCCCACACCTGTGCCCAGGCCGTGGCCCTGGCGGAGGACTTCCTGGTGAGACATCCGGAGGAAGGAAGACAGGAGCAGAAGGTGAGAGAGCCTGAAATACCTCAGATGGGCCACCAGCCTTCCAAATCCTTATAGAAGCTGTTAGCTACCCTTTAATTTGCCCACATGCCCCAGAGGGATGTCCTTTTTTTTTTTTAATTAAATTTATATACCGGCCTTCTCCCTAAGGACTCAGGGCGGTGTACAGCCAAGATAAGAAACCAACAATATAAAAGTTAAAAACAATTTAAAATTATTAAATAGTTTGGCCCACACTCTAAAATAACATAAAATAACCCATTAAAAATAATATTTTAGGCCAGCCCTGCTTGATGGAATAATAGTGTTTTAAGGGCGCGGCGAAAGGTGCGAAGGTCCGGAATCCGACGAATCTCCGGGGGCAGCTCATTCCAGAGGGTAGGTGCCCCCACAGAGAAGGCTCTCCCCCGGGGGGGGTCACCAGTCGACATTGTCCTTTTGTGTGCCACGAGGCAGGATGGGTATCACAAAAGTAATTTTGGATGTCTTTGAGAGCTACCACTATCCTGAAGGGACCCAACCAAAGGCAACGTGGAATTTTGAAATTTTACAATGTTATTGTATAATTTTAAAACTGTTAATCTTAAATTAATTTTGATTTTAATGTTAATTATATTTGTTATATTGTACGCTGCCCAGAGTTCTCCTCTGAGGGAGATGAGCCATTAAGAAATAGGAGAGAGGGAGAGAGAGACAGAGACAGAAGGAAGGAAGGAGGGAGGGAGGGAGGGAGGGAAGGAAGGAAGGAAGGAAGGAAGGAAGGAAGGAAGGAAGGAAGGAAGGAAGGAAGGAAGGAAGGAAGGAAGGAAGGAAGGAAGGAAGGAAGGAAGGAAGGTTATCCTGGCTTTCCAGTGGTGGGATTCAAAATTTTTTACTAGTGGTTCTGTGGGAGTGGCTTGGTGGGCATGGCAGGGGAAGGTTACTGCAAAATACCCATTTCCTCCCGATCAGCTGGGACTCGGGAGGCAGAGAATAGATGGGGATGGGGCCAGTCAGAGGTGGTATTTGCCGGTTCTCCGAACTACTCTAAAGTTTCTGCTACCAGGTCTCCAGAACTGGTCAGAACCTGCTGAATACCACCTCTGTGGCTTTCCTAATCCTCCAATAGCTCCCCATCTTGATTAATTCCAAATATTTGCTTATTTTTAGGGCCCAGGGATGTTTCATGTGGTGACTGTGAATTTTCCTGACTCTGATCAGGCATCATCTGAAAGGCCGCTTAGCAGGCCGATCAAACAGGAGGTCAATGAGGATGGCCTTTCTCAAGGTAAGCAGTTCTTACTACCAATTAAATCAGTGTTTCTCAACCTTGGCAACTTTAAGATGTGTGGACTTCAACTCCCAGAATTCCCCAGCCAAGCAACCATGCTGGCTGGGGAATTCTGGGAGTTGAAGTCCATGCCTTTTAAAGTTGCCAAGGTTGAGAAACACTGACCTATCTCCATAAAATGTAGTTCTAGTTTTCCTGTGAAGTTGGTTGGTCTTGTCTGGACTAACTTGTGGAGCTGACAAACTAAACTTGCTCAACATTCGCTTGATCATTTATTTTAAAGAATAATTTTATAATAGAAAATATATTTCTGTCAACCCATATTTTTTTTTAATATACAGAAGTATATCAGGGTATAAGAGCAGATGATGTCCAGGAAGTAGAAGCCAAAAGATATAAGGATCTGAGAGGAAAAAATAAAGTTTGTATTTTAAAAACAGATGAAAAACCAATACATTAATTAATATATTTACTATTAATTTTCAAAACATTAAAAGAGGGTGTGGGATGAGTAAAGGAACGTGCAAGGAGAGTCCCCTTGTATGAGTTGGGCAGCCATAACCAATCAATCAACCAACCAATGATTTATGTAAGATAGACATTATAAGTCTATTAAATAAATGAATGCCTTTAGCAAGAAATATATTAACTCTCTTTTTACACTGAGTTGTAAAAATCCCTTAATTCAAGTTAGAGTCGTGGCATCTGGATGGAGCTGAGTATTTGCTGGCCGGATGCCCTTCCTGACACCACGTGGAGTACGCAGCAGGTATTTTTTCTTTGTGCCCAAGGAGAGAAACATCTGTCGCTACCTAGGGTTGCACTCTCAACCTTCCGAGTAGGAGGCAAGCATCTTCACCACTAGACCCCCATGCCACTCTTATTTCTTATATTATAAATTTATGTATTTATTTAAATGAATTCTTTTAGCAAGAAAAATATAACTATCTTTCTTTGTTTTGTTTTGTTTATTTACTTAAACAAACAAGCAAATAAATAAAATGCCTTTAGCAAGGAAGAGATCACAAATCTATTTAAATAAATAAATGCCTCTAGCAAGAAAAAATACTGGCTAAAGGGGCAGAAACAGAACATCAGATTGGAAAAAAAAAGTTACTGTAATACTCCAAGTTGAAATAAAACTGGGAAAAATGGCATATGTTTTTTTAAAAGAGCCACAAATATACCCCCACTTGAAACTTCTGATACTGGAAAACAGTAGCAACAAACTGTAAATAACGTTCCCCTTCAAAAATCAGCATTTCCTTGTGCATAGTTGAACACAGTCCAATGTCTCTAGTTTGCACTCTTCTTTTGAGAATGAATTTTATTGTGCTTTGTCTTTATTCCGGCAGACGATGGGCAGTTGGGTGAAATCAAAAAAGATAACCAGTGGAACAACACCATGGGAATGGAGCCTCGTAGCTCATCGTCCACAGAAAGTTGGGAAGGGTCAGGAAGATTCAGAGAGGTGGGAGAACCCCAAAAGAGTCCTCAAGAGGAGAACGGCCCCAGAGGAACAGATATAAACGCATCCGGAGCGAAACAATCCTTGTGTTCAAACTGTGGGGGGAGTTTTAACCCTATCACCGGTCTGCTCGGCCCAGAGGGATTCCCCTTGGAGGCAAACCCCTACAAATGCTCCGTGTGCGACAAGAGCTTCTGCCAGGTTGCCAAACTCATCGCTCATGAGCGGCTGCACACCGGAGACTGGCCATACAAATGCTCCTTCTGCGGGAAAAGCTTCAACCGCAGCTCCGACGTCTCCCGCCACGAGCGGATCCACACGGGTGAGAAACCCTTCAAGTGCACCACCTGCGACAAGTGCTTCAGCCAGCGGTCCAAGCTGATCGTGCACGAGAGGTTCCACACGGGGGTGAAGCCCCACACGTGCTCCTACTGCGGGAGGAGCTTCCACCAAAGATCGGACCTGGTGAAACACGAGCGGATCCACACGGGAGAGAAGCCGTACAAGTGCTCCGATTGCGGAGGGAGCTTCCACCGGAGTTCGGATCTGGTGAAACACAAGTGGATCCACACCGGGGAGCGGCCGTACAAATGTTCCACATGTGAGAAGAGCTTCCGGCAACGCTCGGCCCTCCTGTACCACGAGAGGACCCACACGGGGGAGAAACCGTACACCTGCACGGCCTGCGGGAAAGGCTTCAGTTGTAAAGCCCACTTGGTACTCCATAAAAGGACCCACACGGGAGAGAAACCCTACAAATGTAACTACTGTGGGAAAAGCTTCACCACCAGTTCGTACTTCGTGAAGCATCAGAGAATGCATTTAGGGCAAGAAACTCTGCCGGTTCTGTGAAAGTAAGAAACGACACACAGAAATATTTCCAGGTTTTCCCTTTCCATGGATCTAAAACTATCCCTGCGGGTAAAAAACAAGCAGGTCGGAAATAATTCCCGAGACGGCTTACTTTTCTGTTTGCGGGGATTTGTAAAACAAGCAGCACACTTTCAGTCTTACAGCTGCCCTGGAAGGAGTCTCGATCAGCTGCGGTTGCAAATGTTGAATTGTATAATTTGGTTTGGGTGGAAAGAAATACCTATGCTGAATCGTGCGGAAAAAAATGATGCTGAAAAATGATTGCCTCCAGAAGTTGTAAATGCTCCAACGCTGGAAGTTTTTTAAGGAGAGATTGGACAACCATTTGTATGAAATGGTGTAGGGTTTCCTGCCTGAGCAGGGGGTTGGACTAGAAGACCTCTAAGGTCCCTTCCAACTCTTCCAATAGAATAGAATAGAATAGAATAGAATAGAATAGAATAGAATAGAATAGAATAGAATAGAATTTCTATTCTATTCTATTCTATTCTATTCTATTCTATTCTATTCTACTCTACTCTACTCTACTCTACTCTACTCTACTCTACTCTACTCTACTCTACTCTATTTTCATTTCTAATATTTCTATTTCTATTTCTTTTTATTTCTACTCTAAAGAAAGGCCTGTAATGGCTTGCCTCATTAAAAAAAAAAAAAAAACGTTTATAAAATGGGTGAGAAGAGCAGTTAGGGAGAAACACTATTTCCTCTGAAATTAAGAAAATTCAGGGGCGGTTCCTTAAGTGACAGGATACCTGACCTGCTTGGAAGGGACTCAAATGCAGGCCTCTGTTTCTCCATTTTAAAAGATTGGGTAGCAAGCATTAGGAAAAGGCCCTTGCATTGGGTTCTCGGCATTGAGCATGTAGATACCCATGGGCCTATCATCCCCTTGTCCTTCCTATATTTAGTTAATATATTTTAATTAAAACTGATGATAAATGGAAAACTGACTTTGAGTTGGGCACTGGCCTAAGGTCCAAAGGCTCCTTAGTCTTCCTTGGAAAATTAAAAATGATAGATGGCTGCTTGGTTGGAAATATGTCCAGATAGCCAGAAAAGAACACTGCATTGGCAGAAAAGGGAGGTGGGGTTTGTTAATTGAGGAATTCTGGGTGGGCTGGAATTGAACCCCCCCCCATTGTAAAATTCTGAATATATTGCCCCACCCAACCCCATCTAGAAAAGCTGGTAAAAGATCCTGAACTATGGGTCTGAGCTGGTATAATAAAGCCTCTTCCTAAATTATTTGCCAAAAAGCTACACTTTTGAAATCTCTGTAAAAAGAATCCCAAAATCGAATTTATCCAAAACATTTTCCTGTTATATACTCCGCTCTGTCCCCAATCCCTCCACCTGGGACACAAACAAGTATTGGGAAAAAAAAAGGAAACTTCTGATTTTTACACTTTACTGTTAAAAATAATACTTTCTCAATAGGCATCTAAAGATAGTTCTCGACTTACAGTAGCTCATTTAATGACCGTTTGAAGTTACAACGGTGCCAGTGGTGGGTTGCTACTGGTTCGCCCTGGATTGGGCAAACCGGTAGCGGCAGGAGGCAGGAGGCTCTGCCTACCCGCCCGGACGTCTCTGCACATGTGCAGAAGCGTTGCGCGAGCGCGCGAGCGCCCACGAGCAAACCGGTAGTGACGGGATTTGAATCCCACTACTGAACAGCCTGAAAAAAGAAAAAAGTGACTTGTAACTATCGTACCCACGACTGTTGTGGCTTCCTCATGGTCATGTGATCAAAATTCCTGTCATGTGATCAAAAGGGCCTACTTGGGGTTCCGTCGGCCAAGCAATGTCGGCTGACGGCCCCTAGAGAGCGAGCCTTCTCTGTAGGCGCACCTACCCTCTGGAATCAGCTCCCCTTAGAGCTCCGGGTGACCCCCGACCTTCGCTCTTTCCGCCATGACCTTAAAACATGGTTGTTTCACCAGGCTGGCCTGGACTGAAAGGGTTTTAATGGGAATTTTAGATTCTTTTATTGTTTGAATTTTAATTTGGACTTGTTGTTTCTTATTGCTGTGAGCCGCCCTGAGTCCTTGTGGAGAAAGGGCGGCATAAAAGTCCGATAAGTCCGATAAATAAAATTCAGATGCCAATAAAGGAGAATATTCAGATGTTTGGCCACTGACTCATATTTATGACAGTTGCAGTGCCCCCGGGGTGAGAGGTGATCCCCCTTTGCGACCTTCTAACAAGCAAAGTCAATGGGGAAGCCGGATTCACTTAACAACCCTGTGACTGATTTAACACCTGCAATGATTGATTTAACAACCGTGGCAAGAAAGGTTATAAAGTGGGGGCAAAACTCACTTAACAAGTGTCTCGCTTAGCGACAGAAATTTTGGACTCTACTGTGGCCGTAAATCAAGGACTATCTGTAATTCATATACAGTGTAGAACTCTTAGACCGTCGTTTCTCAACCTTGGCTGCTTGAAGATGTATGGACTTTTAACTCCCAGAATTCCCTAGGCAGCCACGTTGGCTGGGGAATTCTGGGAATTGAAGTCCACCCAGGTTCTAATATTTGATTATTAAGCAATCAAGCCTTAAGCAAATCCAACTCCCCCCCCCCCCAATTGATTTTTGCTTATTGGAAGCTGGCTGGGAAGGTCATAAATGATGGTCACATATCCCCCATTGTAGAAACGTGCAGGTGCTAAACACCCAAATTTTGGTCACATGACCGTGGGGATGCTGGAGAAGTCATAAGACCGAGGACCGCTTTTTTCAGCACCATTGTAACTACCCGGTCGCTAAATGAATGTTGTAAGAAGGACTACCTGTATTTCTTCCATTTCCGGTTAACAATAAAGAGGGATGCATATAGAGAAATTTTGTGAACTTTTATGGAGGGAAGAAAGGAAGAAGTCAAGCTATTTTCCAAAGCCAGACAAGGAATAATGGATGGAAACTGAACAAGGAGGGATTCAGCCTGAAAATAAGGAGAAATTTTCTGACAGGGAGAACAATCAACCAATGGAAGAGACGTTGCCTTCAGAAATTGTGGGAGCTTCATCACCGGAGGCTTTCAAGAAGAGACTGGACTGCCATCTGTCAGAAATGGTGTAGTAGGAACTCCTGCTTGAGCAGGGGGTTGGACTAGATGACCTACAAGGTCCCTCCCAACTTTTGTTAATTTGCAGAAGGCATGGACCACCATGGCACAAGGCTGCCAGGGTTTCTTCTGCCTGTGAGCTCCTCGGAGGGCTTTGATTGGCCACATCTGGAAGAATGCCAAGCTGATTTTGAAAGATGCTTTTCAATGCTCAGGCTCAAACCAATACAGGTGGTCCTCGACTTAACGACCACAACTGAGCCCATAATTTATGTTGCTAAGGGAAACATTTCTTAAGTGAGTTTGCCCCATTTTTACGACTTTTCTTGCCACGGTTGTTAAGTGAATCATTGCATTTGTTAAGTTAGTAACACGGTTGTTAAGTGAAATGGGCTTCCCCATTGACTTTGCTTCTCAGAAGGTCGCACAAGAGGACCAGGGACACTACAACTGTCATAAATGTGAGTCAGTTGCCAAGCATCTATGGCAGGGATGAAATGTAAAATGTGTTACTACGGGTTCTGGGGGCGTGGCTTGGTGGGGTAATGTGACGGTGGGCGTGGCCAACTTTTTTTTTTTTTTTAAACTTTTTAAAAGCATTTTTTCTAATGCTTTGAAAAGCCTCTGATGATCCTGCGGCTCAGCTGACCATGGGGGGGGGGTGTTACAAGGATTTTTGCTACCGGTTCTCCGAACCACCCGCCACCATCACTACCGGATCGGGCGATCCGGTCCGAACTGGGAGCATTTCACCCCTGATCTATGGTAAATTTGGATCACATGAATATGGGAATGCTGCAACAGTGATAAGTGTGAAAAAGAGTCATAAGCCACTTTTTGCAATGTCGTTGTAACTTTGAATGGTCACTAAATGAACTGTTACAACTCAAGGACTATCTGTAATTGAGTTGGTTTTGATCTCTTCAGCTAAGGCAAAAGGAAGAAGAATATCAATGTCTTGATGAGATGAAACTGATTCTTGAAGAAGGGGCATCTTTCTTGCCCCAAATTGGATACATGAGTTTTGGAGAACAAGCCACAGAATAGAAGTCCGTCATAAATTATACGGCAGCTATATAAATTATATAGTTCAGTGGTCCAGAAGGTGTTGCCTGGAGAAACTTTCTGCGTTTACTTAATGACCAGGCCATAAACTTGCTTCTGGCCACATGGTCTCAAAATTTTTTACTACCGGTTCTGTGGGCATGGCTTGGTGGGCGTGGCTTGGTGGACATGGCAAGGGAAGGAATATTGTAAAATCTCCATTCCCTCCCCACTCCAGGGGAAGGATACTGCAAAATCCCCATTTCCTCAAGATCAGCTGGGTCTTGGGAGGCAGAGAATAGATGGGGGTGGAGCCAGTCAGAATTTTTACTACCGGTTCTCCAAACTACTCAAAATTTCTGCTACCGGTTCTCCAGAACTGGTCAGAATCTGCTGAAACCCACCTCTGGTGCCTCGTCTTACAACCGTTAATGACACTATTTCCGGTCCCAATGACGGTTATAAACTGAGGACTGGAAATAGAGGTTGTGTCTCAACCTCTAGGTTTACCCTTCAGAGTCTGAATTTTTAAGGCCACCCAGATCACCTTGTAGGAGAGATGGGCGGCATAAAAATGTAATAAATAAAATAAAATAAAATAAAAGCAACATAGATTCCTTCCCAGAAGGCCTGTGTTTCTACAATTTTGGTCTTTTGGGAGAAAACGGCCGAATTAGCTAATAACTGGAGGGAATTTGGAATTTTCTGGACTTTATAGCAGGTCAGGGAGAAGTCCTGGAGATGGCTCGTGTGCCCGAAGTGGCACATGGAGCCATGTCGTCTGGCACGCGTCTGTTCCTTTTCCAGATTTCTGGTGCACATGCGTGCATGCGTCGATCAGCTGGCCTTTTTGCATGCGGCAGTGCTGGAAACTAGAAGAGCTGCTCGTCCGTTTTCCTGCTTGAGCATGGGCGCCGGTCAGCTGATCGTTGCGTGCGGCATGCGCGCCAGAAGCCCGGAAGAGTAGCTGAAACCGGAAGTTCAGTAGCTGAAACCGGAAGTTCAGTAGCTGAAACCGGAAGTTCATTTTCGGGCGTGTGTATGCGCCCTAGGCAGCTCCTCTTCGGATTGCGGGCCAGACAACACGCACGCGAAGTGCATGAAGTGCGCACGCACAGCCATTACTGTCCTATAAAGTAGCAGTTGTCTCTATTTCTGCATATAAACTGCACACAATTTTGCTTAAAGAATAATTATGTCTCAAATGCCTTTCCTTTGCTGACATGTCTTAATATTTGAGATCGGAAGAGATGGGTGTGGTATTATACAGAAAGAATCTGTACATGTCTATGTTTTTTTTGGTGGGGGGGGGGAAGCATGAGTATATTCA